AGATTTCAAAAAGTATTTGCGGCTCCCAGTGTTTTCTTTTGCGTGGAAACCGGGTCCAAGTGGCTCTTTGGGTGTTAAAGGTTGCAGACCCCTGTACTAAACCCTTCTATTGAGTTCATATTTGTCCAGCCAACCTGCTGAAGTTCAAACAGAACATCAAAATGGGCAAGAAAGATGATTTAAGTGGTTGTTCGAGCCCGACCAGCTGGTGTGAGTTTTTCAGAAAGTGCTGATCTGCTGGGATTTCCCCACAAAACAACCTTGCCAAAAAACAAAAAAAGCTAAAAAAGATGAGATGTTTCCAAGTCCTCGGATCTCAAACTCAGTGGGAGGGAGTTCCAGAGTTTGGGGGGTTACTGATGCAAAGGCTTTCGTTCTCATCCTTGTATGACGTACAGCCAGCAGGCCCTGATTACATCACCTCAGGGACCTGTTGGGGATGCATTGATGAAAAAGTTCACTGATGTATGTCAGTGCTTGTCCATCCAGGGTTTTAAAAGTCAAAACCAGAATCTTAAAGTTGACCCCAAAGTAATAGGATACTCCGTGTATCAACCATTTGTGACAGCTTGTTTTGATACTTCTTAAATTTGACACTTGTTTTTATATTAAAACATGTTTTAAGGACTCTTAAGAAGGCTTCTGCTCTTTGTGCAGACAATAATCAACATGAAATTTCTTCTATAGACCACTCTGTAAATATCCCGTTGTTCCCTCTGATGTTGCAAAACCATTAGATGCACCACTGTCACATCGGTTGACGTGTTCATTAGCCTAAACATGAACATTGTTGTAAATCCTACATACAGCATCCTGCCGCTGTGAATACTTGCATCGCCAAAAATGTATCAGTCCACAGATGAAAATAGTCCCAAACAAATGCATTATTTAGTCCTGCTAAAAACTACAATGCCCAGCATATTCATGGAGAACAAATGGCTTCAGACTAATTCATTTCCAGCCTTTTTGTTTGTTTGTTTTTTGGGGGGGTGGGGGATGGATTCTGCGCACCTACTGACGTGCGCTTTAATTAGTTCCCCGGAGAACAAATTAAATTGCTAATCAAACAGCAGCCCCAGTTAGATTAGTAAGCAGCTGTGTAATTCAGCTCCTCCACAGTGGAATGATTTGTTGGGATCTTGTGTGCCATGTTAATCGCTTAACGGCTGGCTGACATGTATAAATGGTACGTACCGTTTTCAGCGAGGCTTTGTATTATGTCGTGTTAGCCTGGCATTTTGCTTTTGTAATGGCAGCTAATGACAGATGTGAGTTGTGCCAACCTGTGGCTGTGCGAAACCGATACAAACAAAATGTCAAGCTCCTCATTCCTGTACAAATGACGTCATCACATGGTGGCGTGCTCGGAAGGGTAAATATTATTTATCTGAACGTGATTAAAAAAAAAAGGACAGGGAATAAATCGAGTTTACTGGTTGTATTTTACAAGCTTATTTGTATTTGTCCCCTGGTTTGGTTTCTTTCTCCTTTAAAAGCTAACCAGGCTTCTGTGAATAAAGGGCTGCCTCAACATTTACTACAACAAATACAATGGCTATCTTTCTAAGTTGACATTTCTGTAAGATTTTTACTTTCAGACAAGTTACATTTGTGCCAGCAGACACTGGCAAGAATTTCAGTGTGTAATCTCACTGGAGGTTGGCAGCAACTTTGAGTGTGTTCTGTCTTGGCAATGGAAGCTGTTCAACATCTCTGTTCAGATTTAAAGAAATCAAGAAGCTTATAAAGGCTCCTTTCCCTTTCTGCAGTATTTACATGGTAAGAGTCGTTCCACGATTTGACACAGTGATTCCAAAGAGTCTTCAGAAAGTTAAATTACAGTGAAGTCCACACGGCTTATTATTATCCTTAACTTGCTACATAAACTGTGTAAAACAAGCATTTACAACCAATCTACATAAATGATGTCCTACTGAAATAAATCGCCCCTTTAAAATACCGGCGACCACCAGTGCTACCCCTCAGCCTCCTCGTAGA